GAGCTTTGAATGGTATGACGAAAATATGGAAGTCCAATATGAGTAAAGATTTGAAAATCAGATTCTTCATAGCCACCATCGAATCAATCTTACTTTATGGGTGCGAGAGCTGGGCTCTGTCAAAAGCAAGAGAAAAGTCGTTGGATGGAACATACACTAGGATGCTGCGAAAAGCTTTAAACATCCACTGGAGCAGCCACATACCAAACCAACAACAGTACGGAGATCTACCAGAAGTCAGCAACAAAATCGCCTCTCGTAGGCTACAACTTGTGGGACACTGTTATCGCCATCCAGAGCTAAGTACCCAGAAATTAGTCCTATGGGAGCCCACACATGGCCATCGCGGGAGAGAAAGACCGAATACTACCTATATTGACACTCTTAAGAGGGATACTGGTGCATTTGAAGCAAGTGAGATTGCTACACTGATGGCTGATAAGAGGCTGTGGAAAGATCTAGTGGTTGTCCGCCTTCGGGCGACCAAGTGAGTGAGTGTGATATAGCTTCGAAGCACTTTAAATACATGGTTGATGAACACGTCTCTAACTTAATAATAACCCATGAAGAGATCCAGGGGACAGAGAGACTGACACGCGGACAAAACAAAAACAGTCTTTGGTTTGAAAAAAGGAAAACTCTCTTAACAGCTTCAAATTTTGGAAAAGCTGCCAAGACCAAAGTGGAGCCTTCAAATAAATTAAAGTCAATCCTCTATTCAAACTTCACAACAGATGCTCTTCAATATGGCATTGAATGTGAACCAAAGGCAGTGAACTTGTATATTAAGGAAATGAGAAAAAATGGTGTCAATGTTAAAGTTGAAGAAGTTGGATTATTGGTGTCTAAGGAGAAACCATACTTGGGAGCTAGCATTGACAGAATTGTCACCTTCAAAGATACAGAAGAAAAATGGGGAATGGAAATTAAATCTCCCTTCAGCAAAGCAGGAATGACTGTAGAAGAGGCATGCAAAACCCAAAATTTTTTTCTGGAGAAACTTGGTGATGGAACAGTGAGGCTTAAACGAAATCATGATTATTATTTGCAAATTCAAGGACAGCTCTACTGTTCTGACTTAGATCTACAAGGGATCATTCTCACAGTTTATTTTGGAGAAGATAAACCACTATTTTTAGAGAACATTTACTCAGACAACACTTGGTCCAGTGACTGCCTGCCTAAGATTGATTTCTTTTACAGAAGGGCTCTTTTCCCTGAGCTTCTTACCAAACGAGTGCAGAGGGGAAAGCTTCTCTACCTCCATGGTGGGTGGCAACCTTTTGGCCACTATAGCTGCAGCAGAACTGGTTTAAAATTAACATTTGAAAGACAAGTATAAGCTTTACATTGATCTGAAAGTTTATTCATATTCAGGGTACAAAGAAAGTTATTTCTACAGCTTGCAATTCGGGCAAGCCGAAGCTAACATTTACTGGCCAAAACAGCATTTCAACTAGCCCAAAAAAGGTTTTGATGAGCATATTGATTTGACAGTACTTCTGTGATGTGAATTCCTCAAAAAGCTTCACTTGCCCATCGGGCCAGTTAAAAACAGAATCCACTAGCCCGATAGCAAAATCCACTAGCTCCGGGCTATCAGACACTACTTTCTTTGCACGCTGATATTTATTTTTTTCGGGGCTTTCAGACCCTACTTTCTTTGCACACTGATACTTATTTTTTCAACTCATGGCTGTGATCTAACAGCGCCCGGTGGCCCCTGGTGCCTCACTTGTACTCTTGGGTGAGTAGGAAATCATTCTTTATCATAGAAATGCTATACTGGGCAGCCTGAATTCCACAGGATTAGAGCATCAGCTTCCCTTTAATTTTTTTTAGAACACAGCCTTGATTTGCTATTTTGTTTACATAGTTATTTCCCTCCCACCTATGAAAGATAATTATTATAGGAAAACATGGAACCTTAAAGTAACAGTACATTACATTCTAATACTTACTTTGGTGGAAATGGCACCACTCTAAGAACTTGTTGTTTGTTTGTTTCTTTTTTTTCAGTATAACACTTGGTTCCAAATGTATTACTAAACACAATCATTTTTGAAATACTAGCACACAGCAAGAGAGTGATTCAAACTAAGCCATGAATGGACTACAATGAAATTCAAATAAAATTCCAGAATAAGGTCCACTATCAGCAATCCCGATTTGAGTAACAGGAAGACAGTTTATGGGCATTAAATAAGCCATTTCTGGGTTTAAAAAAATTGCACAAGACAAGCCAAATGTGGAACACTGCTGTGAAAATATAAAAAAGTTTCACTCAAAGATAAACAATAATTTTTTTAATCAATATATGTAGATTTACATGTTGAAACAGAGACTAAAGGAACTCAGAAATGGCTCATTGGACAGTCAACATCATCTGCCCAAGCTGTCTTTTAGCTGTAAACAATAGTGAAAACCCAAAAAAATATACTACTCAAGAAATCGTACAACAAGAAACATAGCAGTTAAGTCACCAATAGCGACAACAATGGTTTCGGATTAGCAGGTGTTAGCAAAGGCGGAAGGAAGTTTGTAAGAAGTCCACATACTGTTGCTATCTGTTTCGCATAGGGGCTAAGCGTATTGGGCAGATTACCATCTAAAATGTGGTAAGTCTTTATCCGGCCAATTGCTCTTTCCACATGGATCCGTACAGAGGCAATGGTCATTGTTTCCTCTGTCTCTGCTGCAGTTAGTTGGTCGCGTCCCGCTAAAAAGGGTGGCATATTGACTGTGACACCCTCAGGACCAATGTCCTTTATGTCAAAGCCACGGTCAACCATGATATTGTCTCCCCTTTCAATTAAATCCAGCACTCCACTTTCTCGAGTAATTTGTTTATCAGACACTCGTCCACCCCAAAGGTCTGAAAGGAAAGACACTTGGCCATTTGGTGTCACTCCCACTAGTAGCTTCCAAGTGTTGTGGTGCTTGTAATCAGACCACGTTTCTGACTGTGCAAGCATTGCAGATGGACGCTGAATGAAAAGCTCAGTGCAGTCCAAAATTATTCTGGTTGTTGCAAATTCAGCAGATTCTTCTTGCATATTTTTGCACACCAACTTTTGGGTTGGGAAAGGGAAAATATCTTTGAGTTCATAGTACAATAAATTAATCCACGTAATACAAATCCTTGACACAAGGCTGATGCTTACACCAAATCTGTCTGAGAGGTCCTGTACAAATAAGCCAGCCTTCAGTCGTATCAGTACTAACAGAAATTCATTTAGAAATGATAGTTTCCTAGAGGGTCCTGGTTTTTTGCGATTTTCATCCTCTTGATAAGGCTGACTCCCAAGGCGCTCTCCCTTCCAGTACTGCATCTTTTCTAATTTTGGCTCAATATATTTAAAAAAAACTTATCATTGCCCCATACGATGGAAACCCTGTGTAAAATAAGATGGCTGAGTTATCATCCTTTATTTTCTCTAAGGAAAATTGACGGCTTAGCAGAAGCTCATTCTCACTTTTCACTTCTCTCAAACTTTCTTCACGATCAGCTAGTTTTAGTTCCAGCAAAGTAATCTTTTGTTGCAGTTGTCTGATAACACCATTATCAGAGGCGTCAGCCTGATCCTGATCAACAGTGAATGAAGGCGAAGCTTGATCACTTGCTGCTGAAACTGTTTCCAATGGCAGTGATAGATTTGAGGACTCTTCGAATGAATCTTCTACATCCATTTCCTCTGCAGAAACTGCTGTGCTTGGTACTCGTTCAACAGGGGCTTTACGGGTTTTTTTTTTGTGAGGTCCATGAAAACTGCGATGGCTCAGCACCTTTTGATTGAAAGGTGTAAATTTTTACAATATGAAATAATTTAATAAAAATACATGTACATTGATAACAATAACACAGTGCTCGGGTCCAGTGTCCTCAGTGAAACTCATTATTGCCCGCAAGCCATTGATTCACACAACACTAGGATTATCTTTGATAAACAAGATACGGGACAAAGAAGGAAAACATTGATTGCTATCGAAATACTACAGTCACTAAAAAACAAAGCACTTTTAATCGTTAATAATCATTATTCATGAGCTTAATAGCCCTATCGTTATATTAAGCTTTGCAAATAAAATAAAAAGAAAAAAAAGATTGAGCTAAATGTAAGGGCACCTGCACTGAAATGTGATATGCATATCATTATTGCTATAAGGTTGATGTATATTTCACAAACCTTTCTTCAAGTCCCAGTGGCCTGACCACTTTCTCACAATGTCCTCCTGCTTAAAATGTTCATTGCAAACTACAGTTGAACTTGTCACGGTAAAGCCATCTCTTCCATGTTGCCTCTTAATGAGATTACACCAGCGATTTCTTTGCTTGGGGCTCGTGGGGAATTTGAAGAAATGATAGCCACCGAAGAGCCCTTCGTCATTATAATAGCTGTTGTTACAGCCAAAAACCGCACAATGTTTACCTCTTTTCTTTGAAGACGACATAATCCAATCAAATATCAAAGAAACGACAAAAACAGCGAAGAAAAGCAAGGGAAAGCATCCTTTGTTCTCATAAACGGCTGGTGCACTATATACCAAGTCACCGGTGACGTCACTTCGTACCGTGTTCTGCACATTTATATCACTGGCAACGTCACTCTCTGGTTTAAAGGTTCGGTGGCTCGGTTAATCAATCGGTTCGATGGTTCAACGGATCGCTGGTTCGTTAGCTCGATGGATCGCTGGTTCGATAGATCGTTGGTTCAATGATTCGATGGATCGGTGGTTCAGTGGTTCGCTGGTTCGATGGATCGTTGGTTTGATGGATCGTTGGTTCGATGGTTCGATGGATTGGTGGTTCAGTGGTTCGCTGGTTCGATGGTTCGATGGATCGCTGGTTCGATGGTTCGATGGATCGGTGGTTCAATGGTTCAATGGATCGCTGGTACGCTGGTTCGCTGGTTCGATAGTTTGATGGATCAATGGTTCGATGGACCGATGAATGTCAGAATAGTACATTTAGGCTCACATGACGTGCTGTGTATCCACCGATGTGTATTTTGCAGTTGCACAAAAATGGCGTCCGCTTTTCTGTTTTGTCGTGTCAGTATTTTCCTAGTTTTTCCAATAATTCCGATACAGTAGTTAATTCTTCGAATATCCCGAAAACGCGGCAAGACTTTGTACAAAATTGCATTGCCTCTTTTGCATCATCAAGTGCGAAACATTGCTTTAGTAATGTATTTTATCCTTCTGGCGGTGAACACGTGGGAGACCCAGAAGCGTACAGGATTCCGCCTGTTATACTGTGGAATCCCTTGGTCCAAACTCAATGCGATCTAGCCTGCCCATATTGTCAGTCATCACTTCGAACGTGGAGGTGGAACGATGGAACAAGCCCCCATTCGATGCCTCGCAGTATATTCTCTGTCCAGGAGCGAGTCCTTCTTGTGTCTTGTATGTATCTCTGTGGCAATCATCACCAAGTTATTGCACATGACCCCGAGTTGCTTAAATCAGTCCGTGAAGCAGGGATTAGAATTCCATTTATTCTCTTTCATGAATCTGGTATGACAAAAGAACTTCATAATTTTATTTCAAGCAGTATTCAAGCTGGGCTCTGTATACAGGACATTGAGAGCATGTTTTTAAATTTGTAAAGTTTGCATCACAGCAGCAGAGCCTACTTGTATTATTCTCAAGCCACATTGTCCATGGATAGTTATGAACAGTGTAATTTTCCGCTTTTTAATCCAAAGAGAGATTCCATCGGAAGAATGCTGATCACAAGAGCATTTCTGCGAGCTTTTAGTGAGTGCGAAGGTATGTATACACAGCACATGGCTAGCCATTGTGGTCATTGGCTGTCAGCAGACCACACATTCAAAGTATCTGCTAATATCGGTTATTGGAGTAACCAAAAGTGGATCAAATTATACAATGCTGTGTTTATTGTGATGAATGAAGAGAATAAGGTACTTGCATGGCAACTTACAAGAGGTACTTCTATTGATACAATGCAGTCGCTTCTCACTGGATTATATCAAAGACATCAAAATGCACAACAAGAGATAGAAGGCATTATTATTGACAATTGTTGTATAGTGAAGAACAAAATAAATGCCATATTTGGAAGTAGGGTCTTAATCAAGCTTGATTTGTTCCATGCAATAAAAAGAATCTTGGAGAAGATACCGAGAAAAGGAGTGACGTCTGAAGTTAGAGAAGTTAGGCAAGTCATGATTAAGGACTTAAGATTGTGTTTTCGCGACGAAAAAGATATTGGACAAACAAGGAAGAAACCAACACCCCCTTCAGACAAGATGCAAAAAAATTTGCAGGACTTTTTGAAGAAATGGTCTTCTGAGCTACTTGATGATATGAAAGACTACTAGACAAAGCTGTAACTGAAATATCAAAGGTAGTGAAGCATGTTAAACTGTGATGTTTATCTGGTATTCCACCTGGAATAGGAACAAACCGGAATGAGAACATTCATAAGAGATTACGTAAGTGGCTGAAGAAAGATCGTATTGGTGTGGCTTTAGCAGTTGCACTGCTTGCTACTGTATTTTATAAACTGAATGTTTGTGACGTGAACGAAAAAGGACGTGGCCAAAGAATTTGTACTCCTGTGAGTCAGTGGTTTCACACATTTCTGGCATCAGGGAAATGTCCTTCCTCCGAAAAGTTTGGCATTGGAAATAATACCTCTCATTTGTTGTCCTTTACAGATGAAAGTGAAAGCACACTAAGTGACAACCTTGATATTGAATTTGGCGGTGAAAATGTCAGCAGTTGTGATTCTGATTCAGAAGAGGAGAATGAAAATGTCACATTGCAATCACAAGAAAGAATCATTACCAGAGCATCCACTATGGCCCACACTGCTTCACAGAGTTTTTCAAAGGTTCAAAGTCCACTTTTCGCAAACGAGCATTCTTGGATTAATGCTCCATCAATGCTTCTCCTATTTTCACATACAGACTGCCTTGGACAAAGTGAATATTTTGGAAGTGAGAAGAAACTAGATGAGATTGTTTCAAACTATGGTTTTGAGCGAGTGTCAGTTCCTGGTGATGGTGACTGCTGCTTCACTTCTGTGTCATTAGCGCTTGATCAACTGCTTCAAGGCAATAATGATGCATTAATTCAACATTTAGAGTCTTTACAAGTACACAGAAACCAAGATCTTTCAGCAAGAACATTATACTGACAGGGTTGGTAGTGGCGGAATGGCTTGGGGACAATAGTGAGGAATATACAGCTTTTCTCACCGGTTCTGAAAAGTCCACATTTGAAGAGACTGCACGAACATTCTTAGAGCCAGGTGTCTTTGACTGTGAACTTGGAAACAGTGTTTTGCTGTCTTTGACCAATGTGTTAAAATTACCAATAGTCGATTGACAGTTACCCTGTGATACCTTTAGTGCCAAGAAGCTCCCCACTGACTGTTGTTCCTATACATGTGGCCTTTAATCAGTCAGGGAAAGGTCACTTTGACCCTGTCTTTGCAGCAAAGACACAGCCATGTCAAGAAATAGAGAAGAAAAGTCAAAACACAAACAAGTCTCCATGTTGCTCTTGTGGCAGGGGAGGAGCAAAAGACAAAGAAAGGTCATTTTGCAGCACTATGGGTCAAGGTGTAAGTGTTTTCAACATTTGCAAGGATGTAACCCGACATGCAAATGCCTCAATTGTGGAAACCCATATGGAACAAAAGATGTGGTTGTAAAAGACAGACAGGTCAGAAAAAGAAGGAAGCATGATGATCTTCCACTAACTTCTATTGAATACCTGGAGAGAAAGAATGAACCAATGGCTCCCGAAAAACTTGAGGACTTCGAAATTTTTGTACTTCAACAAGTGGTAAGTGGAATTTCCATGCAGTCTCATGACATTGATGCTTCTGATTATGAAAGCATTTTTCAGCTTTTTAAGAAAATTCTCACATCTGCTGGATTCATCAACATGCCTTCGTTTGAAAAAGTGAAAAAGTTGGTGGACAGAATTAAAAGAGAAAGAGGGCTTTTTTCTCTGATGCTGAGGCAAGAGCTGAAGAAAAGTTGGCACAAGTCATAGGACACCCAAGACTCTTTTAGGTTGTTTTTCTAAGAGGGAAAAGAGATGAGAGCCAGACACTTCCATTTTAAAAGGCTCAAGTAAATGTTTATGTTGTGGATGGTTTGAATCTTTTTTACATTTGTTTTGGTGTATGATGATGTCCGGGAGGGGTATCGCTTATAAAAGGGAGGGGGGGTGCTCATCGTCTCACTCTGGGGTGTAGATTGAAGTTTTTGGTCTCACTTAAGGTGTTGAGGACAGAAAGCCACTGTTTTTCCCCTTCAGGTATTGCTTAGGGTCATATGCAAACAAATGTTAAGTATGATCTCCTTAAGGTGTCAGGTAAAGCCTGAGCCACGCCCAAATTGTCCCTTAAGAGGTTATTTCTTTTCTGATGAGCATCCTATTCACTTTTATATCGGACTCCCCCACCCGGGGGGCGGGGGAAGGTATATATGATACTGAGCTCAAACAAGAGAAAGGAAAACTTGAACCGAAGATAACATTTGAAGAAAACAAATCAGTATGCAAGAATGTTTACACCAAGGTGTTCATATATACGATGATTTATTAGGAAGTCTGTGTTTTGATGATTTATTATATATCTACACTCAGTCAACTCTCTTAATAATCAAAATTTTGGGTAAAGAACGAATCAAGGTCTGATCACCATATGCTGTCTTAAAATCAGTAAAATAATTTATAGTTAATTCAATAATAATGGTTTTCTTTAGGTACAGTACTTTCCATATGTTCAGACTGACTGGTAAAAATCATAAAATTCACCGTTAATCTTTCAAGTCCTAATGGGTTTTAGCATTTTGATTCCCCCACCTCAAAACTCAACTGAAGTTTACAACCAAACATACATGTACGGAGAATTAAAAATATATAATATCTATAATTATCCATAACAAAGGTGTTCAAATATACATGGTGATTTATTATATATCTACTTTGGGGTAAACTTGAAATCCATTTCTGATTACTGTATCTCTAAAACACTTCATCTATAATCAGTATCAAGACCACCATAACATGACATACAAAAACAATAGTTACAGTGGTTACAATATAATTTAAAACAGGATGTTGAGATAAAATGGGACATATCTCTTTATGGTGGGTATCCAATCCTGACTGATGGGGCCGATGTGGGACAGGCAGGAGATACCAACATGTATCTAATGTGCCACAAGTTGAAATGCCTTTACATTTTAACTCTTTTTAGCCATATCATAAGTCGTCTATTTACCAACTTTGTTAGGTCAAGATGGCTGGATATTGGCCTTGTTCTTTTATTGCAATTTTATTGACCTCGACTTCGTCTTGGTACATAAAAATGCAAAAAAGAACTTGGGCAATATCCAGCCATCTTGACTTCACACTTGATCAAAAACACATATGTATCGTGGTATTATTGGAAAGGCATAATGTGCTGGTTGTTCTATTTGCCAGAACAAGCCTGTGAAACGTCTATAACCTATATTACCCCTCTACTGTTGGTTCTGGATCAATGTAGTGATATCTTAGGGCATCATCTTTCCAAGGATAAGGTTTCATCACCTCTGCACGTTGGCGTTCATCGTAAAACTCATCAACCTCTGCAAGTAGTTTTCTGTACTCATCTACTGTGATGTTATGTTTTCCCAGTTTATATTCTTCATGGATAAGAAACTCTGGAAGCTTTTTGAAGAAAATTGTTGAGCGGTGTGTATTTCTCAGCACACCAAGGCCCTCCTTTTCCATTTCCTTGAATTGCTGTACAACAAAGTCGGCAGAGGGGCGTCGAATCGAAGAGAAACTTGTATAAATGCGCTTTGCCGTGGCAAACATGCCTTTAGTTTGAACCACCCTTTGTTTGACTTCTTCTGCAGCAACACCAGTTCTAATGGGGTGTGCTCCATCTTTTAGGTTGGAAGTCTGGAATTGATTAACCAAAGCAAAATTACAGGAAGTTAATATCATGCAGTGAATACTAGGGGAAAATAACAAAAATGGTTTTGTTTGAGAGTGGGATGAAATATCTGTTGTACCCCTCTCCTTTTGAGTTGAAAACAGCTTCAACTCGGTTTTGCCAAGGAGAGCGCCCACTGTAGGTAAAATTCCTAAAAGGGTCAATTCCTTGGTTGTCCCATGGCTGCGAGCAAAGACATTCAGCCAGTTGGTGCCTTCATTTGGACGAAACTCATCCCAAGGCAACTTCAAATTGGTAAGTTACAATACTAGGTCATCTATGGTGTTTATCTCCTCCATATCCTATGAAGAAAAATAAAAAGCACTATTAATAATAAATTATAAACGTATTAATATATTTATCTATTTATTTTTCATAGCTTGTACCAAAAATGGACAGTGGAGAAGAAAGTATTTTTGATTTTCTGTTTTCAATGAGTAAATGACTGATAAACGCATGTCGCGTGCATTGTATTATAAAGATTCACTTTCACATTCGCAGTGCAATACGTAGAGTGCATAGTGTATTTTGAGCAGTGAAACAATTAAGGCGATCAGAAACAATCACTTTCGCCTTCAGGAATAGTAATGCATAACTTAAAGAAAACAGAAAGTAATTTAAGCTTAAGCTTTAGTACTTCATTATTTTCTTTCAATGTGAATTGTATAAGCTCGTTAATTTACAGTGTATGTTCCATTTTATGAGTATGATGTTCAAAGTCCAAAAATAAATCGCGAAGGAAGGTCATATAGAAAAAAAAAGTGAGAGCTTTAAACTAGGTAATGTTCACTCCACATTTTTTCAAAATTTTGCATTACACTGTGCTTTCTTTGTTAGTGGAATATACCCATTTTCCAGTGTCTTTATCCTCCGGCTGACTCACCTCGACAAGGGACGAAAATCCTCAGTCACACATAAGCGGCGATGCAATATGTGTAGAAAGAGTCAATTGAACTTTCTTGTACACAAACAAAACGAAGACTTTAGAATTAATACCAAAACAAAGCAATATACAAAGGCGATCACAAACACTCGCGAACAGAAATGAAAGGATTCTGAAAAATGGCGCCAAATCCAAGCTTCGTCTTCATAACTTGTGGTCAGCGAATTCAAATTGCCTTAAGTAAGTCTCCCAAAAATGACCAACATCGAACCAGCGATCCATCGAACCATCGAACCAGCGATCCACCGAACCATCGATCCATCAAACCATCGAACCACGGATCCATCGATCCATCGAACCATCGAACCACCGATCCATCGAACCATCGATCCATCGAACCAGCGATCTATCGAACCAGCGAACCACCAATCCATCGAACCATCGAACCAACGATCCATTGAACCAGCGAACCACTGAACCACCAATCCATCGAACCATCGAACAAACGATCCATCGAACCAGCGATCCATCGAGCTAACAAACCAGCGATCCGTTGAACAATCGAACCGATCGATTAACCGAGCCACTGAACCTTTAAACAAGAGAATGACGTCGCCAGTGATACAAATGTGCAGAACACGGCACAAAGTGACGTCACCGGTGACTTGGTATATAGTGCACCAGCCCTTATAAACACACCACGTGCGAAAATACGACTCAGCCTCTCGGTTACTATTCCAAGATGGCGCTGGGAACTGTAAAAAAGGCTATTCAGAAACCAACATGGCAGGTTCCTCGGATCCGACGAAACGGGCTGTTTCTGTTTTAAAGGAAGCTGTTACCAAACTTGACGAAAGTTATCACCTGGCTTCATCATCAACATCAATAATTCGAGTGAGGCAGGTCAAGGTGGGGAAAATGTTGGCATCTGGCAAAAAATGGAACAAATGAGAGGCCCTAGTAAAGGAAGCTGCTTGGCGGGGATGTCAACCCAAAACCAAAGGATTGAACAGCTTTGGCGGGATGTCTTTTGCTGCCTAGCCCACATTTTTTACTGCACATCTCAGGCAATGGAAGAGAATGGTTTATTGAATATGGGTAAGTCGATTCATAAATTTCCTTTGCATGATGTGTTACTGCCTCAGATACACCCATCCTCGTAGAACTGAGCACAACTGGAGCCCAACTGATGCACTGGTATGATTGATGTCAGAAAATGTACTTTAACTGCAGTGGCAGAGGTAGCTGAGAAAAAGCCATCTATTGATGGTGTAGATTGGTATGGATTTAATCCAGCTACACAAAGAATAACCTATAGTGGAAGTTGATGATCGCACTCCACCCTCAGATCATATCTTAGACCAGCTCTGTACCATGGTCAATCCACTACAAGAATCAAATCCTGATAGAATTTATATACACCTGATTGAGAAAACGTTGTCACTTGAAAAGTATAAACCATAAACGATGGAACCTAATGGATTTATGGGTACAACTTTATTAGCATTGCAAATTTAAAGACAAACAAAACACAACAGCATGCCTTAAACAAAGTACTCTAGAGATTTGAATCCGCACGAGCATCTCGTGACTATACCTGCCAACTCTCACGCCTGATTGAAAAATGTGAGTTGTTGCCGTCTTGCTTGACACAATTTCCAAAAATATGTTAACTCAGACCCATGTAAGGAACGAAAACCATGTGTAAAATGAATAAATGACAATACGTTCCTCACGATCTCTGATTTTTTAAGTGAAAAGCACTGGGAGCGAGCTCGCGTTTATACACGTCCTAAGACTGGGGCTGGGAAAAGTTTCGTCGCAGTATGCAAATTTGAAAAAAATAATCTAAATGAAAATAAAGCTTGACACGTGCGCAGCCAGTGTGCTGCGCTGTCATGTTTCACAGCACTGCACAGGTTAGGATACCGCTAACTGGGTTGGAAGAAACACCGGGAAAATAACAGCCTCGGGATCTACCAATGTTTTTCACTGGTAGTGGTTTATTTTAGCAAGTTTTCTCTTGCACGCACTAGATACATCTATCTGATAGACAATTATTAACTGAAAGCAAAAAGCACACGTGTCTGGTGTGGGTCTCCTGTATGACAACTTAAGATGATTTCCGCTCAGTGAGTAAAAAAATGATCGTTACCAAAAATTAAGTATTTTTTGGCCAAAAAATACTTACAACACAAGAATATTTTGATGGC